GCTGCCTCGCCCATTTACAGGGCAACCCAGTTTTGCTCCCTGCTGCCCTGAAATTTGTTCCTCCCGGAAATTGTCCCTCACAAGGCATGAGCAGTCAATCAATAGAAGATATACGTGGTCTTCCTAGCACAACAGCTGCAGAATGAGCTGTGGAGTGCCCCATCAGGAGTCCTGAACAGCTTCAAACGTTTCCCCTCTAGTAACTGCCTGACACGCCCCAACCCCAATAATCATTGTGCATTTAACTTAGGGGTTGCCTCACCCTTGGGAGATCCAAACCCCTAGGCTGACTTCCTGTCCTTCATGGAGGAGAAGGCTCTTGTCCCCATGTACTACTCAGTTTCTACTCAGGGCCAGTGACCTGGAGCCTTGGCACAGAAAGCCTGGAGAGAGAAGCTGAGGTAAATCACACTGCTTTGGCTAAGCAGACAGGTGACCTGTGAGAGGTGGGAACAACCTCATCCTGAACACTACACCCTCTGATATAAAGGTACCTGGTGGCCGGGCGCAGTGGCTCATGCCAGTAATCCCAGCACTTTGGGAGGCTGAGGCGGGCGGATCACCTGAGGTCGGGAGTTCAAGACCAGCCTGACTAACATGGAGAAACCCTGTCTCTACTGAAAATACAAAATTAGCCAGGCATGGTGGTGTGTGCCTGTAATCCCAGGTACTTGGGAGGCTGAGGCAGGAGAATCGTTTGAACCCAGGAGGCGGAGGTCGTGGTGAGCCAAGATCATGCCATTGCACTCCAGCCTGGCAACGAGGCGAAACTCTGTCTCAAAAAAAAAAAAAAGTGCCTGGTGGCCGGGTGCAGTGGCTCACACCTGTAATTCCAGGACTTTGGGATGCCAAGGTGGGAGAAACTTGAGCCCAGGAGTTCGAGACCAATCCTGGCAACATAGTAAGACTCCATCTCTACCAAAAAATAAAAATAAAAATAAAAATAAAATTTAGCTGGGTGTGGTGGCACACATCTGTAGTCCCAGCTACTTGGGAGGCTGAGGTGGGAGGACTGCTTGAGTTTGGGAGGTCGAGGCTTCAGTGAGCCATGGCTGCACCGCTGCACTCTAGCCAGGATGACAAAGTGAGATCCTTTCTCAAAAACAAACAGACAAACAAACAATGAAAAAAAACAAAAGGAAAAAAAAAAAGACCCCTGGGAAGTCCAGGTGTCACACCCTGTTCCCAGGACTGCGTGTCCTCACTGGCCTGCTCGAGGTACCAGTTTCTGAGCTGTTACTCAGACCTAGGTGGGAATGTGAACAGAGCAAATTCTGTTCCCATAGAAGGTGTGCTCTGGTTTCCAGACCTTCCAGGCCATCATTGGATATGTGCTCGGCCTGGTGGACTCCAGGTAGAGGCTCCAGGGGCCCCCTATGCTGAGGACCACACTCTTGCAGGAGGATGTGGAGGTTTGGAGGGACATGCAGCATCTTCCTTCATCAGTAGGGGGATGGGAAGAGGACCAATTTTCCACTCTAGGCCTTGGCAGATCTCAGTAGACCCTGAGGACCCACAGATTTCATAGACATGTGGAATTGAGTGAAATTACAAGGGTGAGAAGCAGGAGGAGCTGAGGTTGGTAGTTGAGATGTGGGGAGTGTGGGGAAAGAAAGCCCACTCTGTCCCGTGTATCCCTGGAGAGAGAGTAGGTTATCTTCCTTTTGTTCTCTTCCTTACTGAATAGTCTTAATCCGAGAGTTGAAATGATTTGTTTACATACCTTTCTCTTCCTACCACACTGTGACTACTTAGAGGGCTGGGAGCAGTGTCTTATCCGTCCCTGTATCCCTAGCACCTGGCACAGGACTGGCACACAGTAGGTGCTCACTAAAGCTTGCTTGAATAGATGAGTCAAAGATGGTTGGGTGGCTTAGATTGCCAAAAGAGTGGTTGTCAAAGTGTGGTTCACAGAATCCTTCTCGTCCGGCCCACTTCAGAATCACATGGGATTCTGTTAAAAATTCAGATTCCCCCGATCCACTCCCCAGAAGCTCTGCAATGAGTAGGCATTGCAGGAACCCAGGAATTCACATTCTTTGTGAGATCCTGAGATGATTCCGAAGCAGATCTCCATAGACCACATCCTGAAAAACTGTCCCTTGGAGGAGGGAGTGACACTGGTTGAGAAGGTTCCTTCTGATGTCCCTGGAGGGACAAGGGAGGGATCAGCCCATAAACACAGATCCTGGTTCCAACATCCATCCATCCCTCTTCGCTTCATAAATGATGTGGGTCCATTTGGGCCCATGGGTGGAGAAAACTCCAACCCTAGAACCTGGAGTATGGGGCTCTCTTCATTCTTCCAGGCCGAATGTCCTCTGCTCTGGGCCCTTTGGTTTCAGCTGGGTTCAAGTTCCAGTCACTCCTCCCATTCTCACAGCACTCCCTCTCATTTTCTGTGCTCCAGCCACAGAGACAAGCTCTCCTCTGCCGGAAATGCCCTCCTCTCCCTTCTCTGATGATGAACACTTCCTCACCCTTCAGCTCTCAGCGTAGGCATAACTTTCTTAAGGGAGTTTTCCTTGGAGCCCCAGGTGATCCCAGATTCCCTCTTACAGGTGCTCCTCAGACCATGGTCCCTTCCTTATCTCAGCTTTCTAAACATACATTCATCATTACTAAGGTTGACTGCACTCCTCTCTTTCCGACCAGACCCTTAGCTCTGCAAGGACAGGGACTGTTTTTGGTTATGTTCATTTTTTAGCATTGGGCCTTCTCTGTGGTGGGTGTTTACTAAATATTTGTTGGAGGAATAAATGTTGGCTAATTACTCTGTAGGGCTGAGGAGGCCATAGTGTGGGTGGCCCCAGGGCCCAGGTCTAAGAGAGGCTACCTTAACCCAGCTTTGAGGGGACAGAGAATGGGCCTCAGATGGGCTGGGGGTCTCCCCCCATAGTCTGCCTCATGGCTCCCATTTCCTGATTTTCTTTTTTTTTTTTTTTTTGAGACGGAGTCTCGCTCTGTCACCCAGGCAGGAGTGCAGTGGCCGGATCTCAGCTCACTGCAAGCTCCGCCTCCCGGGTTTATGCCATTCTCCTGCCTCAGCCTCCCGAGTAGCTGGGACTACAGGCGCCCGCCACCTCGCCCGGCTAGTTTTTTGTATTTTTTAGTAGAGACGGCGTTTCACGGGGTTAGCCAGGATGGTCTCGATCTCCTGACCTCGTGATCCGCCCGTCTCGGCCTCCCAAAGTGCTGGGATTACAGGCTTGAGCCACCGCGCCCGGCCCATTTCCTGATTTTCTAGGCTGTTCCCACCCACGAAGAGCTAATATGTCTAATTTCCCCAGAGACAGGGAGCTTCTTAGAGGAAGGACTGTGGCTTATTCTATCTCTAGTCCTAGCATAGTACTTGGCACATACGGGTGCTCACTGAATGTGTGTTGAATGCGTGGTCGATAAATGCCATGAATGGACGGTAAAATGCCTGTCTATTACAGAGCACTTCAGCATTCCCAGAGCACCTTTGCAGGCCTGTTCACACTTGAACCTCATGCCCCCCCTATGAAATAGGCAAGGCAGTCTGTTCATCCCCTTCTAGCCAAAGAGTAAACAGATAACTTGCCAGGTCTCACTGCGTTTTGTTGGTTTGTTGTTTGAGACAGGGACTCTGTCTGTCACCCAGGCTCAAGTGCAGTGGTGCAACCATGACTCACTGCAACCTCTGCCTCCCAGGCTCGGGTGATCCTCCCCCCTCAACCTCCAGAGTAGCTGGGACTACAGGCATGCGCCACCATACCTGGTTAATTGTTAAAAATGTTTCATAGAGACAGGGTTTCCCTATATTGCCCAGGCTGGTCTCGAACTCCTGGGCTCAGGCGATCCTCCTGCTGCAGCCTCCCAAAGTGCTGGCATTACTTTACAGGTGTGAGCAGCCGTGCCCGGCTCAGGTGCCACAGTTAATAAAAGGTGGGGAAAGTTCAGTGGAGCAGTAATGGAAGTGCAGGTTCTCCTCCAGCTTGGCGTGCCCTTACTTGGGGGTCGTTTCTTACCTGGCAGGGCTGGGAGGAGATGGGTAGTTCCTGAAAGGCTGATGGAGAAAAGTGGGGAGTAGGTTACTACTCCCGTGACTGCCCAGACCTCTACCCAGACCTGTTTCCACCTGTGCCCTGAGATGGATAGGCAGCCACATGTGAGAGGTGAAGAGTCCCCGTCCCAGACTAGAACCCGAGCCAGGTCCCGAGCTGGCTGCTTCCTCCACTTGACATCCTCTCAGTACTCTCAGGCTCTTGGTGCCCCTTGCTTGTCTGACATCTGGCCCCTTTTCCTTAACTGGCTGCTTTCAGCCAGCTTCTTAATTCCCTGGAGACCGAAACTGCCTGCCTTGTGACATCATCTGAGAGTGGGAGCTGGAGCCCAGGTACCATTTGGCGTATAGGGGCTTTCTTCTTCATCTGCAGGTGCCCAGGATCTTGTAGCACCTGGCGCTGGACACCTACAGGCCTGTGGAATAACAGGGGCCTCCCAGCTGCCTCTCTTAGGGCCTCCATCTGCTTTATTCCTTTCCTATTCTGTCTTTGGCTTTCAGGCCCTCAGGAGAAAAACTGGCCCACTAAGGAGCCTAAAATCCTAAGGCCTTGGATTCCAGCCCTGGGTCCAGGCACAGCTTCCCTGGTTCCTTAGGAAGGACCCCAGTGACCTGTTTATTCTCCAGGAGGCAGGGCCTGGGGGCGAAGGCATGGTCCTGCTTTGTAAGATCTGTCTGCGCAGGCAGGCTCTCCCAGGCTTCGCTAGGGCATCTCACCTTTCCCCGGAAGGTGAAGGAGGGCCCTTTGCTCCAGCTTGGTGTAACCTTGTCCCTGTCCTGCTGCCTTGGGATTAGGCTTGAGGCTGGGAAAAGGGTCTGGGGGATTTTAGGCTTACGGGAAGATCTGGAGAAAACCTAGTGGTTTCTAACATGTTGTCAGCAGCCTACCCCCTGGCTTGACTGGGTGTGCCATGCCTTTGGTTCCAGGGAGGCTGATCTGGGACGGTCAAACTCATAGCTCCTCTCCCTACAGTTCCAGAGAGGTGGATCGCATGGTTCCCCTGCCCGTTGGAGGCCTCAGCTACGTTCAAGGGTGCACCAAAAACCATCTTCTCAGCAAGACTGTGGGCCGGTGCCTGGAGGCCACAGCACAGAGGGTCCCAGAACGAGAGGCCTTGGTCGACCTCCATGAAAATGTCAGGTTGACCTTTGCCCAACTCAAGGAGGAGGTGGGTCCTGACCTGGAAACCTCAAAGTGGGCAGGTGCTAGTTCCCAAGCTGCCCTGGCTGAGCAGAACCAGGAGCGTGGGCACCTGGCTATGGGGCAGTGTGCTAGGGCTGCCAGAGAACCCCAAGGGATGGCAGGAGAAGGAGACAGGACTGAGGCACAGGGGGTCCAACACCTCCTGTATCAGCAGCTCCTGGAGCACTTGTTAACTATGCAGGCTCCAGGGCAGACCCACTGAGGCTGGGAATCTGCCTGTCCTTTTGTCCCCAGTGATTGTGATGAGAACTCCCGGGCTAAGGGCTGAGGGTGGGCGTCTTGGGCCCCTTCCTGCTTGCCCCATCTCACCCCTTGTGCCCCATCTTTTACACCAGGTGGACAAAGCTGCTTCTGGCCTCCTGAGCATTGGTCTCTGCAAGGGTGACCGGCTGGGCATGTGGGGACCTAACTCCTATGCATGGGTGCTCATACAGTTGGCCACTGCCCAGGCGGGCATCATTCTGGTGAGGAGGGGCTTGCTTGGCACAGCTGGGTGTGCGTGGGGGAACATCATTCAAGGGGAGTCCCTCAGGCCCTCAGCCCCCAGCCCCCAGGACTAAACCAGTGCCTGATTGGTTTCAAACCAGGTTGTGCTTTCTCCTGAGGCCCACCAAGGAGGCCTCCGGGAGTCAGGGGGTGTACAGTGCTGCCTCTATGCCTCCTGGGGGTAGAGGGCCAGCAGGAGGGACAGGGTCTGCCCAGAATACTGATATGTCCTCACCGCTTCCACCAGGTGTCTGTGAACCCAGCCTACCAGGCTACGGAACTGGAGTATGTCCTCAAGAAGGTACAGCTCATTCGTCAGGGAGGGGCCCGGCTGGGGCCTGGCACAGGGGGCTGCACAGACTCTGCTTGTCACAGAGTCTGACGGTGTGAGCTAGGGCATGCGTGGGTGGGTGACATGCAGAGTGTCCTTCCTTAGGTCATAGATGGTTGGAAGGTGGCCCCAACTCCATGGAGAGGGTGGTTGGTCAAACACAAACCTGGCGTGAGTGTGCAGGGACGGGGGCATGTGTGTGTCAGGGCAGAGGTGCATGTACGCGTGTGTGTCCATCCTCATATGTGATGCATATGTGTCTCAGGGTGTGGTGCGTGTGTCTTGGGGTTGGTTCACGTGTGCATTTGTCTTGCAGTGTGGTGCCTGGGAGTGTGCTGGAGGTGTGTGTGTCAGAGACGGGTGCCTCTGTATGAGAGCAACTGATTAGTGAGGACTCCCCCAGAGCTCTAGTCTGAGGCTCCCTGCTGACTGCAGGTGGCGGACTCCCCTTCCACAGGTGGGCTGCAAGGCCCTTGTGTTCCCCAAGCAATTCAAGACCCAGCAATACTACAACATCCTGAAGCAGATCTGTCCAGAGGTGGAGAATGCCCAGCCAGGGGCCTTGAAAAGTCAGAGGTGGGTGTGTCCCGGGTTAGTGGGTGGTGCGTCCTTCAGCATCCCTGATCCCTTCACTTACTACTCACCCTGCCTCCTCCCTCAGCCCCTGTCTCTCACCATCCTCCCCACCCCCAGGCTCCCAGATCTGACCACAGTCATCTCAGTGGATGCCCCTTTGCCGGGAACCCTGCTCCTGGATGAAGTGCTGGCGGCTGGCAGCACACAGCAACATCTGGAACAGCTCCAGCACATCCAGCAGTTCCTGTCCTGCCATGACCCCATCAACATCCAGTTCACCTCGGTAAGGCAGAGGTCTCCAGGCCCCAAGCCCAGGTGGACACATGCCCCCTGCCTCTGGTGACACTTCCGCAGGGATAGGGAGACAGCAGAGGAGAGCAGGCATTCTTTACTGAGACTGGCCTTCAGCTGTCCTCTCTGCTCTGGAAAATATCAGCACCTGGTGTCCTTGTCACATTTCCTCCCCTAGACCCCTGCCCTCTCCACTCCAGCCCTCTTGTTCACGGTGCAGTGGCAGATTCACTGAACCAACACAGGTTAGAACTGCTAGAGGCTGCCCCTCATTTAGCTGATGGGGAATCAGAGACCCAGAGAGAGAATTTGCCCAAGCCAGCTTGTGGGTGGCAGAGTTCTCTGGGCCATATAGGTGGCATGAGAACGGAGACCTTATCTTCTGCATTGCTGGACCCTGACACCTGGCATTGTGGTAGACCTTTTGCAAATATACTGAACAGATGGATCTGGGGCAACAATCCCTGTCTCCTGATTCCTGGTCCAGTGCTCTTCAAGGCAGTGGCCTAGGGTGGGAAGGAGATGAGAAGGAGGCCAAGCCATGCCCTGCTTGCCTTGTCAGGGAACAACAGGCAGCCCCAAGGGGGCCACCCTCTCCCACTACAACATTGTCAACAACTCCAGCATATTAGGAGAGCGCCTGAAACTGCATGAGAAGGTGAGGCAGCTCTAGGCCCAGGGCAAGGCTGCAGGAGGGGTGGCTCAGGCAGGGGTGGGGGGCTGGCTGGGCTCCCCTTGCCAGCTAGAGGAACTGACTTCTGGTTCCAAGACAGACCCAGCCTCCTGTCTCCATCACCAGACACCAGAGCAGTTGCGGATGATCCTGCCCAGCCCCCTGTACCATTGCCTGGGTTCTGTGGGAGGCACAATGATGTGTCTGATGTACGGTGCCACCCTCATCCTGGCCTCTCCCGTCTTCAATGGCAAAAAGGCACTGGAGGCCATCAGCAGAGAGAGGTGGGCACTGGTGAACAGGCTACTTGTAGGCTGATAAAACCCTCTTGTTCCTCACTCCTGGGCCCTGACACCTTTCCGAGCTGCCTCCTCCCGCCAGCCAGGAGACTGGGGATGGGGACAGTGGAGGACCCCCAGGAGAGGACCAGTTCCTGCCTCAGGAGCGTCTCCTGCCTGTTCCCTTTGCTGCAGTTTCATGGCGGGGTGGGTGAGAAGAAGGAGTTCCCTTCCACTTCCAAGCCTAATTTCGAGACCTTCTCCTATACAGAGGCTCCTTCCTGTATGGTACCCCCACGATGTTCGTGGACATTCTGAACCAGCCAGACTTCTCCAGTTATGACATCTCGACCATGCGTGGAGGTGGGGTGGGGCCAAGGGCAGCCAGGTGTGGGGAGGGGGCTGCTTCCCCTACAGGAATGGCCTGGGTGAGTTAGCTCCCAGTCTTTTATTTAGGGGGCAGGAAGGACACTGTAAAAATGTGGGTGGGAGGGAGGGAGATCCCCAGTGTCCCGGGACACCAGCCCAGGGCCAGCTGCCAGGTGTAGGAAAGGCTTGGGGTTAGGGGAGAAAAGGGAAGGTGCCTCCCTTGAATGAGCTGTAGGTGAAAGGACTCCACGGGGCCTGGAGAAGTGGGGAGCTGTGTCAGCCCCTCTCTCTGTGATTCAGGTGTCATTGCTGGGTCCCCTGCACCTCCAGAGTTGATCCGAGCCATCATCAACAAGATAAATATGAAGGACCTGGTGGTGAGTGGTGACCGGGGCCCGGGCTGTGGGCAGGCCAGGCCTGGGATGACAACAGATTGACAGACATGGGGATGAGCCCAGGCCAGATGTTCAAAGGCGACCCTCACAGCCAGACCTCCCTCCAGAAAGCAGATGTGATAAAAGATAGTCTGACCTCATCAGCACCTGGTGGGTGAAGGAAATAGGTGGCAGGGGACTAAATATCATACATACATACATTTATATTTATAGAAATCTCAGGAAGAAATTGCAGCATGGGAAGATGGCAGCAAAGCACCGATGTCCTGCTAGAATGTCCTGGCAGGTGGGGGCTGGCAGAGTTGGGGCATGGGCTTTAAAACCCTTTCTGGAAGCAAGGGGTGGGGCAAGGATCTGATGATTGTTGCCATGTGGCAGGGAAAGAGGAACAGAGGAAGGATGATCCTGGAAGGGTGGCCATCCTGATGACCAACCCGTTGTGGCTCTGATTGACTTGGGGGGGGGGTCTCAGCAACAGCTTCTCTGAGAGGAGCTGGAGGGTGGGGAAGGCATGATGGCTGGGGAGGGGCTCAGCCTTCCTTCTCCCCAGGACACTGCTGGGTGGAGCTGGGTTGGTAGTGGAGTGCCCGAGGCCCCCTGCCAGGACGTGTCTAGGTGTGGGCAGCTCTGTGCATCAGCAGAGGCTGTGGGGAGAAGGTAGGGGTGGAAGTGGGAAGGTCAGTAGTCTCTCCGGTGGAAGGCAGTGGCCAGTCACCAGGACTGGCTGAGTCAGAACCTGCAAGGAGGCAAGGATCGATGTCAGTACTCCAGCAACCCAGATAATGCTTGGAGAAAATGATGGAAGTCCTGGGCAGGAGCTTTTCCTCCCTTTGAAAGGGGCCCCAGTCCTCCCCTCCTCTCTCTGTAAAAATGGAGGGTCTGCCTGCCCCTCCAGTGGGAGGGGGTACCCTGGAAGATACCAGCTCACTTGCTGGAATCACCAAAGAGGGATATAGGGGACGTGTTTACCCAGCCCCCACCTGTTTAATGGCGGCCAGCTTTCTTGGACCTCTTGGTAGGGAACTTGCAGCTGCGGAAGGCGTCCGTGTCACGGATGTGTTGGCCCTTGAACTTGGCAGGTGAGGCACAGGTGGCATCTGGGCGGGAGGCCTTGGCTTCCAGCCACCTGGAGAGACAGAAACTTGCTGGGTCTGGGGAAGAAGGTGGGAGTGCTGAGGGGAAGGGCAGTGAACTATGGGACCAGGATTGACTTGGCCACAGGATAGTCTGAAGCTGTCATCTTCATTTCACAGATAGGGAAACTGAGGCTCCCAGGGTCCCATGCCTATTAGGTGGCAGATCTAGGATGCATGTCCAACATGTCTTAGTGCAGGGCTAATGTGTCTCTATCACATGAGGGTGGGCTCTGGGAGTGACATGGGGGTGTTCTTACCGCCGAAGACCCCGGAGCTGGCAGGTACACTTCCAGGGGTTGTTGGTAAGGGTGAGGGTCTCCAGGCTGTCGAAAGGGAAGTTGGAGGGCAGGTGGTTCAGGCGGTTGTTCTCCAAATGGGCGTGTTTCAGTGTGGTTACACCCAGGAAGGCACCATCTGAGAACTGGGGAGCAAGGTGGTCATGAGTGAATGAGTGAGCACCCGAGCGCCAGAGGGGCAGCGTCCTTCCCTGAACCTGAGCCATAGCGCTTTGAGGAGTTTCCCGGTTTTCAAAGCAGTGTGACCAAGTGGTCTCAGATGATCCAATCTACACAACCCTCTTTGAGACAAGTGGTGTTATTTTCTTTTCTTTTCTTTTCTTTTTTTTGAGACAGAGTCTTGCTGTGTTGCCCAGGCTGGAGTGCACTGGCACGATCTCGGCTTACTACAACCTCCACCTCCCGGGTTCACACCATTCTCCTGCCTCAGCGTCCCGAGTAGCTGGGACTACAGGCTCCCACCACCACACCCCGCTAATTTTTTGTATTTTCAATAGAGACGTGGTTTCACCGTGTTAGCCAGGATGGTCTCGATCTCCTGACCTCGTGATCTGCCTGCCTCGGCCTCCCAAAGTGCTGGGATTACAGGCGCGAGCCACCGCACCCGGCCAGGTTGTGTTATTTTCAATATGCAAATGGGGAAACGGAAAAAGTGCTGTCCTTTGCCCTGGGTCACAGCAGTGGGTAAACAGTAGCCACAGGACCACACCCAGCTCATCTTCCCCTGGCACGACAATCCCTGCACAAACACTGGGACTGTGGAGCTGCCAGAGTTTGGCCCCAGCAACCCAAACTGGTACATGGTGAACTTGGTCTGTGCTTAGTGGAGTGGGCAGTGGGCCCAGGCTCCCCACAGTCCCAGGGTCCCAGGACTTCCCCCAGCTCTGTCCTCACTGCTCCCCCACTGCCAGCCAGACGCTATTTGTGAAGCCACCTTGGTGGAGCCTTTGGCCAGGTTGGACGGCTCCAGAGGAAATGTTCTATTGGTGCCCACACCTTTGCCCAGGCGCCACAATTCCTGTCTGGCCTCCCCTGCCCCAAACCACCCCCTGATTCGCCGCTCTGCTGCCCACTGAAAGACCACTCTGGCACTGGTGGGCCACAGGGGACTCCAACTTCAGCTGGGGAGAGGCAGGGCTGAAGAAGAGCAGGCTTGAGCAGGCTCCATCCACCCAAACAAAGGTTGGCTGCTGCCCAAGTGAGATTCTGCCCACATTTCCACACCCGCACCCTCTCCTGTGGCCCACATTAAGGTATGAAGGTCTCCAGAAACCAGACTCTCCTCTACCTTGTTGGTCCCCACCCACACCTCCTGGCTGAAGGCCCTGTACCAGGGTGATTTTTCCAGTCCCAGAGAAGGGATTCTGCTCGGATCCAATATAGCCCCAGCTGGCCAGACACTGGGCACCCCAGGGGAGAAAGGAATGAGTGAGGAAGCAGACAGGAGATGAGTCTAGTGACGGGGGAGGGCAAAGGGCAGTCAGCAGTCTGGAGACAGTGAGGCATGCCAGTCTTCCCTATGGAGAGACACCTGGGGTCTTGTGCCAAGGATTGACAATAGTGGTCTTGCCTTTGCCCCTTCACGGAGCCCATGGGCATGATGCTTGCAGCCTGGGGGAGCCCTTGGTCCCATGCCTACTGAGCTGCAATGGACTTGAGAATGCAATGAATTGTGTCTGTGTGAATTGGGCAGGGCCATCCACCGGGGCCTCTGTGGGGCATGGAGAATGTCTTCCTCAGGCATTTGCTTCCCCTCACTCCCCAGTCCCCCACTCCCCCTTAGCACGCATGCACAGCCCCCACCAGGAACAGGGTCTCTTTGTGGGCCTGATCTGCCCAGCTCCTCTAGAAGGCTCCTCAATAAACAAACCTTCCTTTATGGGGTGGTAGGTTTACTGGAGACGGGAAAACAGCAGAGGGGGGCTGGAAGGCCCAACAGGAAGAGGTGGCTGCTGCCCGCAGTGGGGGGTTTGGGAGCACTGGAGATGGCCCTAGGGGGCCATTTGTGGGGCCAGGGCAGCCCCACTCCTTTTATATGTAAGAATCCTAGGAGGGCAGTGGCCGAGACTGGCAGCCGACAGGGATTAGGGTAGGGATGTGACAAGGTGAGGAAGGGAGGTGGCAGAGCTGTTCACCTTGGATACAGCCAGAGGGACAGGGAACCTGGGGACAGGGGTTGGTGCCAGCTGTGGCTCTGGCTCCTGGGGCCTCCAGGAAGGGAAGAAGGAACCAGGGCAGAGCCTGCAGCCAGGAGCTCACCTTCTCCAGGTTGGTGTTGTCCAGCCAGAGGGTTTCCAGGTATCTGCCAAAGGACTGGAAGGCATTGTCCGGGATGCTTTTCAGGGGGTTGTGGGACAGCTTCAGCTCCTCCACCACCCGTAGCTTGCTCAGGGCAGCCGAGGGGTAGCTGGACAGCTGGTTCCTGTCCACGTGGAATTTGGCGAGGTTCTCCACGTCGTCCAGGGCCCCGGGCTGCAGGGAGCTCAGCGCGTTTTCCGACAGGTAGAGCCAGCGCAGGTCCTTGGCTCCCTGGAAGGCGCCTGCGCGCAGCTCACGGATTTTGTTGTTGTTGAGCTGCAAGATGAAGAGGTTGACCAGCGGGGAGAGCAACCCCCGGGGCAGCTCGGTGACCTTGTTGTGGTCCAGGTAGAGGTAGGTCAGCTCGGTCAGGTCGTCGAAGGCACCTGCGCGCAGCACGCGGATGTCGTTATGGGACAGGTACAAGTAGATAAGCTGCTTGAGGCCGCGGAAGGCACCGGCGGCCACCTCGCGAATCTGGCAGTGCTGCAGGTGCAGCGACACGAGGTTCGGCATGGCCCGAAACGAGTTGGCAGCCAGCACCGGGAAGTTGTTGCGCTGTAGGTTGAGCAGCTTTGTCTTCTCTGATACCTTGGGGATCTTCTGCAGCCCCACCTTGTCGCAAATGACGTGCTGCAGGTCGCCGTGGCAGTGGCAGTTCTGGGGGCAGGCGGCCAGCGCCGGCAGCAGACCAGCCAGGAGGCCGAGGCTGAGCAAGAGCATTGGGCTGGCCATGGCCAGGACTCCTGGGGCCGGGGCTGGGGGCAGCAGCGGCGGCGGGGCGCGGGCAGCGGCGAGTCCTGGGCGCTCGGGTTTGCCGCCCTCTTTATACGGTGGCCCTGACCGCAGCCGGCAGCCGAGCCAGCTCCTACGTGGAGCATCGAGGCCACTGGGCTTAACTCGCTCGCGCCCAGAGATGCGCCCCCGCCCTCCACGGGGAAGGGGGCGGGGCCCTTCCCCCAGCCGGCGACCGTGCATAGGGGAGTGGGACCGTGGCCCCCGAGCCCCGGCTCTAGCCCCCTGCTCTCCTGTGCTGCTCCTCTGCCTACTGCCTTTCCCGGGGCTTTTCTGGGAAGGGGGAATGGTTATGTCTGGAGCCCCGAGTTTACATCGTAGAGAGGGAGGCGTTCCCTGAACTTATTTGTTTGCTCAAGTTTGAGCCTCCACGCCGCACCATCCACACACGCTCGGCCTGGTGCACTGGATGCGAGGCGGGAGGAAGCGGGACCGGACAGCCGGACGCGTCTCCCCGCGGTGGGCCAGCTGGCGGCGCTTTAATGGGGTGCTTGTGCAGCGCCGGCCGAGGGTGAGAGCCGCCCCGGCGTGGGGCTCCCACTTCGGACGCGCGGAAGTTGGCCCTGGGGAGACCCAAGCTCTTTCCCCACCCTGGGGCGCGCCCCCACCCCTCTCTCCCAACCCTGCTTGCGCCCCCATCCCCTTTTTCCACAGCTGAAGGCTGAGCAAAAAAGTGGGAAGTCGGGGAGGGTGGCCAACGGGAATGGCAAACACACCTGGAAACCACAGGCCACAAGCACAGTCTCACTATCCTCCCTCCTTCATCGCCCCGAAATATCCCCATCCCTCATCCCCAACCCTAGTGGTCAGGACCCGCCCCGAGGGGTCTCAGGGTGGCGGCTGAGTGGCGCCGAGGTGTACTTGGCAGAGGCCACATTCGGGCAGTGGCCCCAGGACTGTGAGGACGGGTGTGGGAGGGGGCGGGGCAGGTCGAAGGACCAGCCCTGGACGGCTCTGGCTGCCAGACCGTAAGTTCTGTGGGCAGTCCCGCCCCAGCCCGCCAGATTTCTCTGTACCCACTTGCCAGCCACGATGTCCGGATTCCTGTGGAAAGGGGAGGGTGAACAGGCAGGGTCACAGCTCCGGCCTCAGGGTGAGCTCCAAGCTGCCTGGCACAGGATATTGTCTGTGAAGGGTGGAGGGAGAAACCAGACCCCACATTGAACCAAACCCCAGTCGTGTCAGAGCCAGAGCAGCTGATATGGGGGAAGCTTGGTGCAGGGAGGAGGATGGATGAGATCTGATGTCCATTGATTAAAAGGGACCTAGGACATGGGGTAGCTAGCCTCTCTCCCCTTACCCAGTACCCTCGTGTTGGGGCCTGATTTCCAGCGCCTGCTCTTTTCCCAAACCTCTCTGCCCCTTGCCTCTAGGATAGGGGGGTCATACTTGGCCTAGACTATTCCTTGATGGTATTTAGGCTTCTCCAAGGCTGGCTTCTGGTTTTTCTGTTGCTCAGGCTTTCCAACCACTGGAAATGGGGGAGGTGGGGGGGGGTGCCACTGGTTTTTAAAATCACTGCTTACGTTGTTTTTTATTTTGATGGAAATAAATTCACGGGAAACTCTCCAGAGCTTGGGGGACGCCTGCCCCAAGGCCAGGCACTTGTTCAGGGTTTGCGGAATGGGGAGGGGGGTGGGTTGTGTTTGTGCCACTCCTAGCTGGGCCAAGGCAGGCTGGCTTTCTCATCAAGTATATGGGGCCTTTGGCTTGGAAGCGAGGGGCAGGGGGTGTGGCCTGAAATCAGGAAGGTGGGGTTAAGGCAGCCAGGGGATTGGGGAGAGAAGGGTGGAGTGATGGTAATACCGGAGCCACAGGCACAGACAGGTGGCTGCTCCAAGGAAATGGGGCACTGAGAGAGCTCCAGCTGGAAGAGAATGGTGTCCCTGCTCTCAAGTTTCCTTCAGATCTGGGGCCCTGCAGAGATCTAGCCTGCTCACTCCCAGCATCTCTGCCTCCTGACCCCAGGCCCCTACCAATGATGTTTCTGTTTCCACCATTCAGCTGCCCTCCACTTTCCCTTTTCTTTTATGAATTCCTTCCCATTTCCCCAGATAGCTCACCCGATCCCTCTGCATGCGCTGAGCCCTCTTCAGGCACCCTTTCTGGACCCTCTAGGTTGCTTATGGAACCACAGAGAACAGTCCCGTCACATTCGCGAACTTCCCTGAGGACACTGTGGAGCAGAAGGCAGAAAGCGTGGGCAGAATTATGCCTCACACGGAGGTGAGCCCCTGACCAAGACTCCGAAGCCCCACCTCCCATCACCCAACCGGGGTGCACCCAGCTGGGACATCTGTTGCTTTTAGTGAGAGAGCCAAATGGCTCACTCAGGATGCCTAGAGCTCCCCAGCAGCAGCGGTGTGCTAGGCCTGGCCTGGAGCGTTCTCTGTGGGCTAAGCATGAAAGGGGGAAAGCTGGAACGGTGGCTGTGAGCCGCTGCCAGCTGAACTTCTCCGCAGCCTCCCTTCCTGTCTGAGGTGTGTTTTTGCCAAGCCCACTGTCTGTTTCAGGGCAGCCAGGGTAGCCTCAAAGAGAAGCCAGAGCACAGAGAGTTTTCCTACATAGCTTCTTTTCCTCCAGTGGTCCCCGCCTCTCGCTTTAGCAGAGTTTCTCTTCTTGCTTGGCATAAACACTTCATTTCTCAAGCAGCCTATCCCTTTAGGGGGGTCCCTTTGCCCCTCAAAGGTTGCCCCAGAGTGCATCTCAATCTTAAACGCCCAGCCATGCCTCCTTTCCTGCTCTAACACTGGGGCGGTGCCAGCTGGCTCCAGATTTCCCCTGCACCCTTCTGCTCCCGCCCCTGGGGGATTGCTGCCCCTGTGCACAAGTAGCTGCTTCTGCTGGTGCTGACCACTATCCTGGTGTGAATATGCCCTGCCCTCCCGCCAGATCAGCCCTGTACCCAGGGTTTGAGTAGGGATGTGAGCCCCCTCCCGTGTGTCCTACAGCTGCACTGCCATTCTCACTAGGATGCTCACCTGGAAGGGAAACAGGGGCAGACATCACTCACCCCGTTTCACAGATGCAGACACTGAGGCACATGGAGGCTCAGCTTTCCGTGGCACAGTGGCCATGGCTCTTTGCTCTACCAGACTTTCAGACTCTGCCTCTCCTATTCACATGGTGTTGCCATGCCACCCTCTTTGGCTTATTTGCTGTTTAATGGGAAGTAAGAGGAGACTCCCTTCTCCTCTCCACAGTCTATAATTCTTCAGCTGGCTCTGCAGTCCACAGACCTCTTTCTTTGCAGCAGCTGCCTGCCTGCTCTGTTTCCTCAGCACTCCCAGCTTGGGCCTCAGCTCTTCTTTCATGCCCAGCTCAGGTCTCTGACTGGCTTTGGGTCGACTCTAGCCTTTGTCTCCCTTCTCTGGATGGGGATAGGCAGAGCCAGGGGGCCTCATTCCAGGTGCTTGAGTTGGGGGGGTTGAGGAGCAGGCAAAGCTCTCTCCATTTCCGAGGACCACCTATGCTGAAGCAAGAGGACAGGAAGCCCCAACCTGAGGCTGTCCTGTCCCAGGCCCGGATCATGAACATGGAGGCGGGGATGCTGGCAGAGCTGAACACGCCCGGGGAGCTGTGCATCCGAGGGTACTGCGTCATGCTGGGCTACTGGGGCGAGCCTCAGAAGACGGATGAAGCAGTGGATCAGGACAAGTGGTATCGGACAGGGTGAGAAGGCAGGGCGGGGTGGAGGCTCTGGCTGCTGAGGGGAGGCTGGAGGTCTTGAGGCTGAGCCGGGAACATTAACCTGGCACCGTGAGGATGTGGGTAACAAGATGACCCCTCACATGCTGGAGACTTAATTTCCAAAATGTATATGGTGGGGATGATCATACATAGCACAGAAGAAATCAACTGGGTCATCATCCTACACCAGCAGCTGCAAAAGCTGAGTCCAGATTCAGTCACTCATACTCATTTGTTAGCTCAGCAAATTCTTACTAGAATTCCTTATGTGCTAGCACTGTTCTCACCGCTGGAGGTCCAGAGGAAAGTAAGATGAGAAGGATCCTCTTTTTGGAGGAAGACAGATGATGCCTGACATCGATAAATAACACCAAGAAAATAGGCCAGGCACGGTGGCTCACACCTGTAATCCCAGCACTTTGGGAGGCCGAGGCGGGTGGATCACATGAGGTCAGAAATTCGAGACTAGCCTGGCCAACACAGCGAAACCCCACCTATACTAAAAATACAAAAATTAGCCAGGCATGGTGGCGCGTGCCTGTAGTCCCAGCTACTCAGGAGGCTGATGCAGGAGAATCGCTTTAACCTGGGAGGTGGAGGTTGCAGTGAACTGAGAACGTGCCACTGCACTCCAGCCTGCACGACAGAGCAAGACTCCATCTCAGAAACAAACAAACAAACAAAAAACACCAAGAAAATAAAATAGGGTTATAGGAGAAAGAGTGGCTGTGGTGGGGAGGGGAGCTTCCCTTAGATTGAGTGGACAGAGAAGATGTCAGGAGACATTTGAGTTGAGACCTGGAAAGAAGCCAGCTATGAAAAGCATATGTATAGATATGTTGAGAGAGAGAAAGAGAAAGAGAAAGAGAGAGAATATGTTATAGGTATTGGTTTGTATTTGTCTACCTCCCTTCCCCTTACTAGACTATTAATTCCAGAGACTGTGTCTTGTTCCTGCTATGTCTCCCAGAGTCTAGAGCAGTGGAAGACACACAGTAGGTGGTCAATAAATGTTTCATGAGTGAGCAAGCAAGTGAGTGAACAAGGCAGAGGTGACAGGTCGCCCCTGGGCTTTCCTTACAGAGATATCGCCACAATGAACGAACAGGGCTTCTGCAAGATCGTGGGCCGCTCTAAGGATATGATCATCCGGGGTGGTGAGAACATCTACCCCGCAGAGCTCGAGGACTTCTTTCACACGCACCCGAAGGTGCAGGAAGTGCAGGTGAGGCACCCGGCTCAGGTGAGCCCCCAGAAACAGGAAACACACATGAACAAGGTGATGTCTGATACTTTTCCCTGGCCCTGGAAGGTCGTGGGAGTGAAGGACGATCGGATGGGGGAAGAGATTTGTGCCTGCATTCGGCTGAAGGACGGGGAGGAGACTACGGCGGAGGAGATGAAAGCTTTCTGCAAAGGGAAGGTGGGAGCCTCCGCCCAACCAAGCTGATGCTGCTCAGTTCTTTGTTCGCCCACTCCTCTTCCAACCAGCCTGGGGTGGGGGCTGCTCTGCCCTCGACGAAGCTGACTCCCGGCCAAGCCAGCCCCGGTCCCCTTCCCATACCCCTGTGAGCTTGCCCAGCCTCACGCCTTACCTCCCTCCCTCTGGTCTGCAGATCTCTCACTTCAAGATTCCGAGGTACATCGTGTTCGTCACAAACTACCCCCTCACCACTTCAGGAAAGGTGTGTAAGGTGAAGGAGACTGGGGAGGGCAGCCTGGGCTCTGGGGTCCCATGGGGCCCCACCTCTGTTTGCTTCAGCAGTGGGTGTGGAGAGGCTGGCAGTAGGGTGACCAAGTCACCTAATCCTGGTTTGCCTGGGGACTTTCCCTGTTTTGGCACTAAAAGCCTGAGAAACCCCTTATTCTTGGGCATACCAAGACAGTTGGTCACCCTAACTCCTTTTTCTTTCCTCTAGATCCAGAAATTCAAACTTCGAGAGCAGATGGAACGACATCTAAATCTGTGAATAAGGAGGGAGGAAGGGTCTGCCCGGGCCCTCCTCCTGTCCATCCTCCATACTCCCCTTGTCTGTCCTTGTGATTTGGCATAAAGAGCTTCTGTTTTCTTTGGCCTCTTGCTGGTGGGCTCTCTTGGCAGCTCCTATGGGATGGAGAAGGGAAGACACTGAGGGAAACTAGCACTTTCAGACCTCCTATTCCTTGTCATTGAGAGTGCAGAGCACCTTGATGTGGATTATCTACTTAATTTAACCCTCACCCTTGGTATCCCTTTGAGATACCAACCCATTTTTGTTGTTGTTTTTTGAGACGGAGTCACCCAGGCAGGAAGGAGTGTAGTGGTGCAATCTCAGCTCACGCAACCTCTGCCTCCCAGATTCAAGTGATTCTCCTGCCTCACCCTCCCACGTAGCTGGGATTACAGGTACCCACCACTACTCCCACTAATTTTTGTATTTTTAGTAGAGGCGAGGTTTCACCATGTTAGCCAGGCTGGTCCTCAAACTCCTGACCTCAAGCAATCTGCCTGCCTCAGCCTCCCAAAGTGCTGGGATTACAGGCATGAGCCACTGTGCCTGGCCCCAATTTTTTATTTTTAATATATTCTAATTTAATTCTTTTTCACATTGTTGCCAGATTAGTCTAGCAAGAAGTGTTCTTTTATATATATATAACGGCTTGATTGAGATGTAATTCACATACTATCCAGTTCACTCACCCCTCCCCCATTTTTTAGAGACAGGATCTCATTCTGTCACCTGTGCTGGAGTGCAGTGACATGATCATAGCTCACTGCAGCCTCAAACTCCTTGGTTCAAGCAGTCCTCCCACCTCAGCCTCCTGAGTAGCTGGGACTGTAGGAATGTGCCACCATGTCTAACTAATTTTTTTTTTTTTTTTTTGAGACGGAGTCTCGCTCTGTCGCCCAGGCTGGAGTGCAGTGGCCGGATCTCAGCTCACTGCAAGCTCCGCCTCCCAGGTTCACGCCATTCTCCCGCCTCAGCCTCCCGAGTAACTGGGACTACAGGCGCCCGCCACCTCGCCCGGCTAGTTTTTTGTATTTTTTAGTAGAGACGGGGTTTCACCATGTTAGCCAGGATGGTTTCGATCTCCTGACCTCGTGATCCACCCGTCTCGGCCTCCCAAAGTCCTGGGATTACAGGCTTGAGCCACCGCGCCCGGCTCTAACTAATTTTTAAACATCTTTTTGTAGAGACAAGATCTTGTTATTTTGCCCAGGCTGGTCTAGAACTCCTGGGCTCAAGCAATCCTCCTACCTCAGTCTCTCAAAGTGCTGGGACAATCCACCATTTAAAGTATAGAATTCAGTGGTCTTTAGTATATTCACAAATATGTATAACTATCACCACAGTCAATTTTAAACATTGTCATCACCTAAGAAAGAAACCCCATACTTTTTAACTATTATCTCCCATCCCCAGCCCCCTTCCTCACCAACCAGCCTCTTTTTTATTTTTTATTTGTTTTGATTGGTGAACCTGGGGCATCCCTAGTAGGCAGGGCCAGATAAAGCAGGTTGTACCTTGACCTAAGAAATAAAAACAGCTGAGTTCCAAAAGGCACATAGGTTCCCAGTTCACAGGAATGGAAACTTGCCTCCTGCCTGCCCCCTTACCTCCCAGCATGCCTGCCCCCTTACCTCCCAGCGTGCCTGCCCCCTTACCTCCCAGAGTGCCTGCCCCCTTACCTCCCAGCGTGCCTGCCCCCTTACCTCCCAGCGTGCCTGCCCCCTTACCTCTTCTCAGCCGTGCCTGCCCCCTTACCTCCCAGCGTGCCTGCCCCCTTACCTCCCAGCGTGCCTGCCCCCTTACCTCCCAGCGTGCCTGCCCAAAGCAGCAGCAGCCTCCTCTTAACTTTTTCGGAAATGAACATAGGTTTAAGGTACTTTCAGTACCAGTCTCTAGGCTAGGTATTTTCACATTATTTTGTCTCCAAATCTTCCCAACAATCCTATCAAGTAGCCATTGGTCCCACTTCACAAATGACCCAACAGAAACTCAGGGAGGTTCAGTATCTTGCTCAAGGTCGCACCGCTGGATCAGAACCCAGCTGTCTGTTAAGCAGGTTCACTGCACACTGGTTACCAACTTGTCAAAGTCCAGTGAGGTGAACACCCACAAGTTACATAACGCTGAGTCCAGTGAGGTAAACACAAGGGACATGCAGTGTGTTTATTACCTATAGGTAGGCAGTAAGGGACAACAGAAGGCTGGGATTTATTTGGAGCTGGACCCCTAAGGCTCAGGAAAACTGCTGAGGCAGATGGGGGATGGACTGTCATCTGCGCATGCCCGACTTTTTTTTTGTTGGTTTGTTTGTTTGTTTGTTTTGAGATGGAGTCTCGCTCTTTTACCGAGGCAGGAGTGCAGTGGTGTGAACACCGGGATTCAAGCAATTTTCCTGCCTCAGCCTCCCTAATAGCTGGGATTACAGGCGTGCACTACCATGTCCAGCTATTTTTTTATTTTGTTTTTTTTTAGTAGAGACAAGAGTTTCGCCATGTTGGCCAGGCTAGTCTTGAACTTCTGACCTCAGGTGATCCACCCGCCTCGGCCTCCCAAAGTGTTGCAATAACAGGTGTGTGCCAACACGCCCAGCCAGCCAGACTTGTACTGAAGTGAGGGACCCCAGAAACCAGCCTGCCCTGTTTTTTGTTTGTTTGTTTGATACAGAGTCTCACTCTGTCTCCCAGGCTGGAGTGCAGTGGCACGATCTGGGCTCACTGCAACTTCAACCTCCCAGGTTCAAGCAATTCTCCGGCCTCAGCCTCCCGGAAGAGCTGGGACTACAGGTGCGCACCACCACGCCCGGCTAGTTTTTTGTATTTTTAGTAGACATGGGGTTTCACTGTGTTAGCCAGGGTGGTCTCAATCTCCTGATATTGTGATCTGCCCTCATCGGACTCCCAAAGTGCTGGTATTACAGGAGTGAGCCACTTCGCCCTGCTTCCGCCCTGGGTTTTATACCCTGAGGCCATGTGACATGTTGGGCTGAAGTGCTGAAGGACATCCTTTTTCTAGGGGGACTGGAACAGAGCATGGCTGTGCTGGCCAGACCTTCCTTCCCTCAGGATGTTGCATTCTCTGCACACTCTACAGTTTTATTTATTTATTTATTGAGACAGAGTCTTGCTTCGTCACCCAGGCTAGAGTGCAGTGGCATTGTCTCAGCTCACTGCAACCTCTGCCTCCCAGGTTCGAGGGATTCTCCCTGCTCAGCCTCCTGTGTAGCTGGGATTACAGGTGGCCACCACCACGCCTGGATAATTTTTGTATTTTTGGTAGAGACGGGGTTTCAGCATGTTGGGTAGGCTGGTCTTGAACTTGTGATCTCAAGTGATCTGCCCGCCTCGGCCTCCCAAAGTGCTGGGATTACAGGCATCTACAGTTATTCTCGAGAACTACAAGCAAGAAAGGAGGGGAGAACCAGGTCAGTTCAAGGCCATTGGGAGAACTGTCCTGCACCGCCTGCCTCTGAAGCCCATGATGTTTCTGCTTTGTGGGACAGTTCTTCAGGTGCCTGCTTCCCCAGGCGTTCCCCTGTGCTGTCTCTCCTGCACACACCATCTGACTGTCCTCCCAGCACGTACACCTCCAGATGCTTGGGTTGCCCTGACCCAAAACAGTCTACTCTCCCGGCCAAGCCAATTGCCCCTGGGATTTTCTGCTCCTCCAAGATCCAGCGCATAGCCCTGGTGGTGGCTCATGCCAGTACAATCCTTGGTTACTCCGGATACTGAGGCAGCAGGATCGCTTGAGGCCAAGGAGTTCAAGACCTCCCCTCTCCCAAATATTTTTTAATGAAATTAAAAGAAAGATCCAGCCCAAGTGCCTCTTCTCCCCTACTGACTCCCACACTCTTATAACAGATGACCTCACAGCACTGGGCGCACGGCTCTGGTGTCCAGCAGGCAAGGAATTAATTAAGCCTTGCCTGTCCTGGCCGGTTGGCTTACCTGTCAGAAGGCAACCTGGCTTTGCGCACCTAGATGTCCCCAGCGCCCAGTTCTGAGCCAGGCACGTCAAATGTCAAGGAATTGACTGAACTAAGAGCTCCTGGATGGGTCCGGGAACTCGTCCGGGCACACGGTGCCAAAAGGCAGGCAGTCCGCTGGGCGGACTGGGGAAAGAACCGACAGGCGGCCGCGGTGAGCGCCCGGGCGCCGACAGGTGGCGCCGCAGCCCCGGTCCCGGGCCCTCTCGGCGCGCGGTCACGCAGCCCCTCTTCCTTCCGCCGGCTCCGGACTCACAGTGAGCCCTGCGCGCGTCTCTTACTCGGGTCTGTGCCCCGCGCCACGCTGGGCGCCATGGCGCTCCCCGGAGCCTGGGCCCGCGGCTGGGCGGCAGCAGCCAGAGCGGCCCAGAGGCGCCGCCGCGTGGAGGGCGCAGGAGGGTCCCCGAGTCCTGAGCCTGCGGGCCGGCGCGCGGCGCTTTACGTACACGTGAGTAAGGGCGGGGGCGGAGCCCGCAGTGTGTGGCCGCAGCGGTGGCCGTGACCGTGGCGGTCCAAAACCCAGGTGGCAGCTTGTCACTCTATGAACCCGCCTGCCGTGTTTCCGTGCCCCCGTACGAGGTCTGGAATGGGACCCGGTGCCTTGGCAGGGAAATGACTTGGTACAGAAACCTGAAGTCTCTGCTTCTCACCAGCTCGGTGACTGACCAAATGGTTCAGATTTCACAACAGTTTTCCTCTTAGCAAGACAAATTTTTTTAAGAGCCGTGTTCTGATTCGGTAGCTTGGAAAATGGCCCGTAGGAAAATTGTATGCAAATTCTTTGATCCCAGAAAGAGCTTAGATTGAGTTCCTTCCTGACGTCTGCTGGTTGGAAGAGGCAGCGTAACAAAGGAGTGAGCCTCAGTTTTCTCACATTGAAGTGGATATAATAACCCCAGTGCGACTGCCTTGGGGAGTTGTGTGGCCTAGATGTCCTAGCTACTGTGGAAGGACCTCGGGATGGGGGTGGGGATGGGGTTGGGGATGTGTGCGACTAAACCCTGCAAGTGGCCAGGGCAGCTCTCACCGTACACCTGCACCCACTGCCCCCAGTGGCCTTACTGCGAGAAGCGCTGCAGTTACTGTAACTTCAACAA